TGCAAACCCGTAGAACCTTTCTGGAGAGGAGAACTCCTAAAAATATTATATATGCATTTATGTTTCACCTGTGGTCCCATTTCTTAGAAATTTGTCTTTTGACAAATTCAACTGACAATTGTCTTTTGACTCTGAACACATGCCTCCAACAATATGAAAACACATACAAACTTAAAGTACTGGAAAACTCTAAATACTCATTCATAGAACGGTGGTTGAATAAACTTTGGTACATTCATGCAATGGAGTACCAGGCAACTACAGAAAACAATAAGGAAGACCTCTTTGGACCAATATGATGTGACTGCTGAATATATTGTTAAGTGAAAAAAAGCTAAGGGCAAAAGAGTATCTTCAGGAATCAATGAGAGCTGGGAACAGTTCATGTTCTGGGGAGGACGCTGTGCCAGCCATGGGACTTTGGGTGGGTGATTGGCTGCAGGTGCGCTTGCCTTGTGGCAGCAGAAAAAGGATGCACCAGTGATCAACCAGTCTCTTAATATGGAATATTTTAGAATATCTTTTTACAAAATTTTGATTTTGAGAACCATGTTAATTTTTCAAATACTCAAAAATATAAATACATTATTCGAGTATTAAAAAGTGGATCCCAGCAAAAGGGACCATAGCAAAGCGGAAATTTCCACCATTGATGATCCCCAGACACCCTTTGGGCCAGTCCCCAGAGTATCCTAGGAACTATCCCCAATCAAGCAGGACAGATACCTGTCCCCAACAAATATTTGTTAAAGACCTACTACGTGCCTTGGGGACACAGCTGTGACAACAGACCCAGAGCCCAAGTCTAGTCTAGTCTAACGGGGATCCTGCACTTGGGTTAAAGAGAAATGATTTCATCTCGGCCCACAGGGCCCACTAAGCCACGAGGTAACCAGGAATTGCCTGTTGAGTATGGTACCTGCTGGAGGGAATCCCTTCGTTTCAGGAGAGTGAAAGAAACAGGAAATAATGACTTTTGTTAACTATGGAGAAGAAGAGGTTCAGGGCCGGGCACGGTGGCTCACGCCTGTAATCCCAGCACTTTGGGAGGTCGAGGCGGGCTGATCACGAGGTCAGGAGTTCGAGACCAGCCTGGCCAACATGGCGAAACCCCGTCTCTACTAAAAATACAAAAATTAGCCGGGCGTGGTGGCGGGCATCTGTAATCCCAGCTACTTGGGAGGCTGAGGCAGGAGAATCGCTTGAAACCGAAAAGGCGGAGGTTGCAGTGAGCGGAGAGCATGCCACTGTACTCCAACCCTGGCGAAAGGGCGAAACTCCATCTCAAAAGAAAAATTAAAAACTCAATAAATATAGTGTACAAATTCCGTCTGATTGTGCAAGGTAACACACTGTATGGGAATCATTTAAAAGTCTGTCTTCTATGCAAGAATGCAAGTTCGGATAAGAGGGCTGTGACCTCTCATTTTCTCAGTATTCCCAGAGCTTGGGCAAAGCCGGCCCATGGTAGGCGCTTAAAACACTCTGTGGACCTGAGTGAAGCAAAGCGGATCAATCACACCCCCAGCACGACTGTCTCTATCTCACGTAAGAACAGAGGTGATCACGATGTCTCCATTCCTGAGTAACGGACACACACACACACACACACACACACACACACCCCTCCCCGCACCACGCTGTTGGGGCTGCACGGAGTCCTGCCTAAGAAAGAGTCTCTGGACTCTGACTTTTCTGTTCTCGCCGCCCCTCCTAGTTTCCTGCCCGGCTCTCCTGGGCGCCAGCGCTTAGGCAGGTGGCCCATCGCTCGCGCCTCTGTTGCACTGTGAGGCAGCAGCCGCTAATGCGCCTCCAATTGACCCGGAATGGGCGAGATTCCAGGTACCAGTTCCACTCTCGGCGGGCGGGCGGCTTTCAATGCTCCTGGCGCTGAAGGAGGACGAGGGTGGAGGGACGCCAGACCCCTCCGAGAGGTGACTGAGAGAGGGCGAGACCCAAGCGAGCAAAGAAACTGAAACCTGAACGCAGGACACTGCAAATTCCCGCCGCGTGGCGCAGTGCTGCAGAAGGACGGCCTTGCTCCCTGCAAGGGTGGGGCGAGCGCGACAGGGACTCCTATCCCCAGGTTTGCGCCCGGAGCGCGCATCCCGAGCCGAAACGACCCTTTCTGTAACAAGGACTCGCTATGGTGGAGAGCCTGCTCTTGCAAAGCGGCGGGTAACTGCTCCGCAGACCTGGACTCCGGGCGAAGGGAGATGTTTCCACCACTCGAGAGGGGTTAGAAAGTATTTTCACGTACAAAAATCTCATCTGATCCTCGCAGCAAGCCAGGAAGGGCAAGGCTGGGAACGTAGGGCTAGGATTTGAAATCGAGGCTTCCGAAGCCAAGTCCCCCGCAAGGTGTCCTTTCTTCTATGACTTAGGTAGAGCGCGACTGTCTGCCACGAAAATTCCACCAAGTGATAAGGCGCTGGAAGGTTTCTGGCGTTAGGTTTCTACCCCGGGTCACCCTACTTCCCGCCTCCACCACTTGGAAGGCGAGAATCCAGTGAGCCGTCAGTATCCCCTGGAAGGACGAGGCGGAGCTCCTACCGCGGAAATATTCTAAATTCAGGGTCTCTTGTGGGTGTCCGGTGATGATTGTAAATACCCACAGACTAGCCACTCGCCTGCACCTCCAGGGAAAAAATACGATAATACTGTTTTTCTAGAAAGCCCTGGAATGAATGGCATGTCTTATGAGCATTAAAATCTTTGATTCATTGATGTTTCTTCTATATATGTATCCTGAGAAAATAATAGAAAATATTGACAAGGATGGAAATCAAAGCCACAAAATAAAGTCTTATTTACCGTGATGGAAAAAAGATATTATCTGAAAACACAAACACAGTCTATTATGGTCTATCCATAACAAGAAATATTAGATTCCTATTTTAAATTATATTTGTTTAAAAAATTCTAAAGATGAACTGGGCATGCTTATGATGTAAATTTAAACATATACAAATAGATATACCCGATGAGCTCATGTATGCAAAAATAAAGAGAAGAAGGTGCACAAAAATGTTATCTCTGGGTGGATATTTTCTTTTAACTTTTCTTCACTTTTTCCAAGGTGAACATGATTGACTTTTATCAGGTAAGAAAAATCCAAATGAACGTATGGGTCATCACAAGATTTTGAGATCTCTAAGAGCAAAGGATGTCTATTTCCAAAGGAAAGAAAGAAAGGGTTAATTATCTTGGTTTAGAGGCTAGTCTGGTCTTGCCATTTGGTGAACTATCTGGGCCACCTTTCTGATCTGGACTCCTCGCTGAACAAAAAGAAGAAGAAGAAGAAGAAGAAGAAGAAGAAGAAGAAGAAGAAGAAAAAGAAGAAGAAGAAGCAGCAGCAGCAGCAGCAGCAGAAGCAGCAGCAGCTGGAAATATTTGGGTATAGCTTTGATGTAAAGATTAAATGTTACTATGTATAAGAAATCATTACTTGGTAGCTGAATGATCAAATTTGCTGAAATTTTGCATAAATCTTTGTGTGCAATTTTGCACCCATTAGCCTGGGGAGATGAGTTGGGTTTATCTGGATTTCGGGAGATAAGCATATTCAAACAGCTGTTGTAACATTGAATTCACGTAAGTAGGTTTAAGAAGCATTTGAGGCCTGAGCGGGGGCTCACACCTGTAATCCCAGCACTTTGGGAGGCCGAGGTGGGCACACTGCTTGAGCCCAGGAGTTCAAGGCCAGCCTAAGCAACATGGTGAAACCCCGGCTCTGCAATAAATAAATAAATAAATAAATAGCCAGGCTTAGTGGCTGCATCTGTGGTCCCAGCTACTCAGAAGACTGAGGTAGGAGGATCACTGAGTCCGGGTCGAGGCTGCAGCGAGCCATGATCTGGCCACTGCACTCTAGCCTGGGAGACAGAGAGAGACTCTGTCTCAAAAAAAAAAAAAAAAAAAAGGAAGGAAGGAAGGAAGGAGAGAGGGAGGGAGGGAGGAAGGAAGAGAGAGAGAGAGAAAGGAAGGAAAGAAAAAGAAACATTTGATCTGAAATCCCCAAAAGAACTCTAATGAGATCCCATTGTGATTAAAACACAATTTTTAAACCCTCTTCGATTCTGTGCTGGAACTGCTGACACCAAATCCCGTTTCGCTGATCCAGGAGTAGTAACAGCAGGGGCTGGATCTGTTGGCGCTGTCTCCGTATTGGTAACCTTTGGGCCACACTGCCCCATTTACTCGGCGACCGCTGTAACCGAGGGACTTTTCTGGAGATCTAATGCGAGTCAAATCTTCCCAGCCCTTCGGCGGGCGTCGCATTTATACGCGTACACAAGCTGGCACGCTCCAGGCAATCCGCTTTAAGGAGGATAAAGGAGAAGAAGAAAACGAACGTGGGGACACCCAGGGCGACGGGAGCCCCCCACCCAACCCCACCTCGCCTCTGACCACTTTGCGCCGGCCGCAGCGATTGCCTTCCCGTCTCCCCCACCATTCGCGGAGCCCTTTAAGAGGCCGAGGGCTCCAGACATGTAACCCCCACACCCACTCCTCGGTCCTGGGACTGAGACGCTGCTCCTAGAAAGTGGCGGGTCGGGACTCAGCAGACCCGGATTCAGTTCAAAGAGAGAGGTTTCCATCTCTATATAGGCCCTGGCGGGTCACGACTCACTTTAACTCTGCGGTACGGCCTCTGCGCACGTAAGATCCCAGCGCGCACCTCAAATCCCGCGGGTCCCAGTTGTCTCTATCTTACTTTCCTCCGCCATAAGAATGCAGAGTTGAGCTAAGACCAGGCTGGATGGACCAGATCGGGTTGCACAGCAAGGACTCCACCCCCAGTCCTCTCATGTTCACTAGGAGGGTCCCCGTGGACCCTAGGTAGACCTCGGAAGCTCCCGCTAGTACCGTATTGACGAAGATCCTAGCCGAGCAGCACTGTCTCTCCGCGTTTTCTTTGCTTTGAGAACCATCAGTACGAACCAAACCTCCCAGGAAGGCGACTGGGGACTGGAGAGGATTAGACGGGCGCGCGAAGAAAGCGCTGGGGGAGGAAGGTGCAGGGTTAGCACGTGATTTCTGCGAGAACCAATGGGGGGCTACGGTCTCGTCACCCGGCCCTGGACCCGGGCCTGCCAGCATGACCCAGAGGAAGGCGCTGTGTGGGACGCTGGGCGTCTGTCCCAGAGTTTGGGTCTGTCTGCGGGGCCTGCAGCAACAAGACGGGAAGCTCAGGGTGCCGCTCCTCACGGGGACCAGGCACTCCGCGGCCCCGCCCCATCCGCCTTCGGGATGCTGTTGAGCCCCGTCACCTCCACGCCCTTCTCGGTCAAGGACATCCTGCGACTGGAGCGCGAGCGGAGCTGCCCGGCGGCTTCGCCACATCCGGGGATGCGGAAGAGCCCGGAAAACTTTCAGTACTTGAGAATGGACCCAGAGCCGCGAGGGTCAGAGGTTCACAACGCTGGTGGTGGCGGCGGTGACAGAAGGCTGGACGGTTCGGAGCCTCCTGGGGGTGCCTGTGAGGCAGTCTTGGAGATGGACGTGGAACGGATGGCGGAGCCACGTGAGTAAGCGCTCAGGTCTTGTCTCCTACGGGGGGAATGTGGGGGCGGGGGGGGGGGCGTGATCCATGGGTGCATGGGGAAAATATGCCTCCTATCTCCTGGGTTCGAGAGTCTGTCTCCATTTTTTCTCACTTCAGGAGTCCAAAAAAAGGCCTCTCGAACCCCATTCCCACCCTCTCCCGACACCTAGCGTGCTTCACACACCTCTAACTAAATTAAGCCCCTGAATCTGAAGGATTCACTTTTCCCAAATCCGCTCCTCTGATTCCCACAAACGCATGGCTCCCACTCGCAGCCACAGTGCCACAGGCTCCATCTTCTCATCTCCACAGCGAAACCCGCTGCAGTATCTTAGCCGTGCCAGTCACCACCACCCTTCCCTTCCATCACCTGGTGTCTCTCCACCCCCAAACCGTTTGCAAAAGAGTGTGGCAATCAAAGCAGTGGAACCCTAGTGGCTCCGAGGTCACTCCTAACCAGGCCCTTTCTTGCTGGCCTGGCCGGGGGCGGGGGGCCCATTCCTCCTCATGGATTTTTCTTCTGGAAGACGGAAGATGGGGACCGGGTGGCGATTGAGTCTCCCGAAGTGGAAGGCCCCGTTGGCACAGGATTCTCCGCGTCAGGGAGAGTGTTAAAGGCTGCCAGGGTTTTCTCTGCCCTGGGACAGGGCTCTGGCCGAGTCCTGTCGCCTGAATCGGAAGGCGCAACCATGCGCGCCGGGCTGCGAGGCCCACGCACCTGTGTCCAGCAGGCTGGAAGGGAAGGGGCTGGCGGGGAGTTGTGTTGCGTCGATACGGAGGCTTTGGCTGGAGAGGCCCGACATTCCAAGGGATGAAAACTCCACCTTTTCCTCTCCAAACCTCAGCACCTCGCTCAGCATTCTCAACGCAGGGACCCCGAGTAGCGCCCGGCAGGGCAGGCCTCCTCTGCCAGACTGCCATGGCGCCTCCATTCAAGGCGCAAACGAACGAAATAAATCAAGGGGCTGGATCGGAGTTACCGGCTTGCAGGCCAGCTACTCACTAACTCCAGAAGCCGGAGAACATTATCTGTTGTGTCCGCGAAGAAGCTGGTAGGTTTTCTGCAGCGGATTCTAAACTCCCTCGGCGCTGCTCAGCTAACTCGGCGATCACTTCTGCTCCGCTGACAAAGGATCACGTTTCTTCGACCACCACAGTCGCCTCGCAGTCGATGGTATTGGTGGCGCCTTCCTTGTCCCTCTGGAAACCAAATCCTGGGAGCGTCTCTTCTGCTGCAGCAGTGGACGCCGCTGAGGAGGGACCCGAGGCGGGCTCCAGGAACTGAGCCCAAGGCCGCGGTAGCGATCCGGACAGGGAAGGCACCTTCGGTGGGCTTCATGCCCTCCTCCATCGCAGTCAACCACCTTGCCCTCAAGAACTCCAGGATTGTGAACAGGAGGGCGCAGGGTGCTGGCGCGCCCTGCGGTACTGTGCAGCCCCAGGGCCTGCATGATCTGTGACTTTCAAATAGGGTCCTCCTTGCTCTGCAGCCTGACTGAAGGTCAGTTGTTACCTTTCGATGTGCTAAGAAAACAAACCCACGTCAGGATTTTTCCTCTTTGCAAGGAGAGATGGCCTCAGTTTATTTGAGCGCAGGCGTCTCTGAAGGAAGTTGTTCTCTCCTCCGAACTTTAAATACCAAACAGCTCCATCCCCCCATGACATTGTGGCAGGGCCTTGGGTCTTAGGAGTCTGCTTCCAATCGCACTGGCTCGTTTAGAGTCCTGTCCCTTCTTGCCATGAACTTGCACCCCCTCCATGCTCCTGGTTTTCTTCTGGCATGAGATCCCATGAAAACTCAGCATTTCCCTTCTATCCACCCTTGGGGTAAAACGGGGCTTAAGCCCAGACAGGAGAGAGGTGAGAAGAAGGGAGGAAAACGCTGCACCTCGGTGGGCACAGTCTCAGCTGTAGGGGTCGCCCTGGGTGAAAGGAGGACTTCAGGGTGAAGCCCACATCACCTGCTTGCCAGAAAGACCCCAAAGGAAGGAGAGGCTACCTTTTAAGAAGCCAAATGTGGACCTCAACTTTATGTAACTCTCAAAGAGAACCTCAGTTTCTGAGCCAAGAGTCAGGAGCCAAGAAATATTTTGTTTTCATCATATATTGTTATTTTGGATTACAAACCATCACATCCAAGAAAGCTGGGATGCATCCTGGTGTTGGTGGAGTGCTGCATCAAAAAGACAAGAGTGTGCACAAAAGTGGGGTGAAGGTAGGAGACACTCAAGGCCCCGGCTCCTGGACTTAGAGCTGAGTTCCCTGCAGTGCACTTGGGGCTGCGAAGGAAAATGAGGTAGACGGGAGCCTCCTGAGAGCCTGTCACCGAGTTTGCGCCTTCTTGACACCCGGGCTTCTCTGTTTTTCCTTCCTTCCCCGCCTTCCTCCTCCTCCTCCTCTTCTTCTTCCTCTTCCTCTTTCTTCTCCTCTTTCTCTACTTCCAAGGAGAGTCCAAAGTCTCCCCAATCTGATCGACACCTCCACTCACACTTGTTCCTCACAGCAAAGGTTTACCAAACTCGACCACCATACACACACAGTTTTTTTGTTTGTTTGTTTGTTTTTTGAGAAGGAGTCTGGCTCTGTTACCCAGGTTGGAGTGCTGGGGCGCGATCTCGATCTCGGCTCACTGCAAGCTCCGCCTCCCGGGTTCACGCCATTCTCCTTCCTCAGCCTCTCGAGTAGCTGGGACCACAGGCGACCGCCACCACGCCCCGCGAATTTTTTTGTATTTTTAGTAGAGAAGGGGTTTGACCGTGTTAGCCAGAATAGTCTCGATCTCCTGACCTCGTGATTCGCCCGTCTCGGCCTCCCAAAGTGCTGGGATTACAGGCGTGAGCCACCGCGTCCGGCCCATGCACACACATTCTAAGAAGCAAATGGAGCTGCCTTAACTCCTTATCTAGAGTCTACCTTTTGGAAAAGGACGCACACATCGGGGACCACATGGTGTCACAATTTATGTTCCAGCAGTAACATAAAAGTGACAGAGCTTGGAGGGAAAGAACATTGAGACAGTCCTGGGACAGGGTTCGGGGGTACTAGGAGCGAGGAGGCGGGTGCGCAGAGTGAAGGCTGCCAGGGAGAGGGAAGTCTTGAAAACTAAGTAGAAACTGCTCAGGTGAGCCTTAGGCTGGGCGCTGATGTGTCACTTCCTGTGCTTTTAGAACCCGGCCTGAGCGCGGCCTCGCCCCTCGGCGGCGGGACCAGGGTGCCAGAGTGCGGCGTTGGCAACGGCGGCGACAGCGTGCGGAGTGGCCGCTCCGAGCAGCCCAAGGCGCGGCAACGACGGAAGCCGCGCGTGCTCTTTTCGCAGGCGCAGGTGCTGGCCCTGGAGCGGCGCTTCAAGCAGCAGCGGTACCTGTCAGCGCCCGAGCGCGAGCACCTGGCCAGCGCGCTGCAGCTCACGTCCACGCAGGTCAAGATCTGGTTCCAGAACCGACGCTACAAATGCAAGAGACAGCGCCAGGACAAGTCGCTCGAACTGGCCGGCCACCCTCTAACGCCGCGCCGAGTGGCGGTGCCCGTCTTGGTGCGCGATGGCAAGCCCTGCCTGGGCCCCGGGCCCAGCGCACCTGCCTTCCCCAGTCCCTATGGCGCCACAGTGTCGCCCTATTCTTGCTACGGAGGCTACACCGGAGCACCCTACGGAGCAGGCTACGGCAGCTGCTACGCGGGCGCGCCCTCCGGTCCTGCGCCGCACACACCACTGGCCAGCGCGGGCTTCGGACACAGTGGCCAGAATGCCACCCCGCAGGACCATCTGGCAGCCACGCTGCAGGGCGTCAGGGCCTGGTGAGGCTCCTCGGCTTGACTCTGCCCACTAGGGTCAGATGCTTGGTCCCTTCCCCTCCGCCCGCAGGTCGCGACAAGAAGGAGGGGACGCGGCGCTGGAGGGAAGCTGCTGCCCAACGGCGCTTCGTTCCGCAGCGATCTCTGGAACTGCGATCTGCACCACAGTCACCCAGCTAAAGGCCTTGCCTGGGACGTTCTTCCCCCAAAAGGCGACCCCTTTACCGGTCACCCACCAAGCAACACAGGGACTGAAGAAAACCGAGGCTGACTGGCAGTTTGGGGTGTGGGAGCAGTACTGAGGCGCGTGACTTTTGGGGCTTCAACCCCAGAGGCCCAAGAGGCTCTCGCATCCGTACGCAGCAGCCCCGAGGCATTGGGGTGAATGGAGATGGTGATCTAGCGGGCCTACCATCCTCCAATTAATGACAGCTGTTGGGGAAGAACGAGAAGAGAATGGGAGTGCGGGAAGCGGGCTGAAGAGCCTGGAACTTGAGGATGGGGAAGTTCACGAAGAGGGACCTGCTCTGAGCCTCCTCCTGTGGGGTTTAAACATCCCCACAAGGCTGCGCCCTTGCAGACTCCATTAATCCAGAGGAGCGCTCTTTTCTGGCCACGACTGCTCTCCTGGAAGTAGGCTCTACCTTCCGGTCCCTTTCACTGTTGTGCATTTTATCTCTTTGTACAGCACAGCACCTCCAATAAATATACTAAATAAGTGTGCACGAGGTTGCGTGTGTGTAGGCCGTTAGAACATACATACGCCATTACCTTGAAAAATGAAGCCCAGAAGTGCTAGGAGAACAAAACCAATTCAGTCTTGGAGGTAGATTTCCCAGTTTCTTCCCTCACAGTCCTCTCTCCCTCTTTGTAGGTTTTCTTTGGAGCATCAACAGTTTTGCACCAGGAAAAGATCAAGTGCCCCGAAGTCCTAAAAAGATGGGTAGAAAGCCTGACCTTTAGGCTTTCTAAAATTGTGAAATTTTGACATCTCCACCCCTAATGGTATCTGAAGTCATGCAAACTCAAGAATGAAAACAAACTCATTTTACTCATAGGGACGTCGGATCAAATAGAAAATGTGTGTTTGCTGAGACAGATTTTATAGAAAATTTAGTAAGAAAATGTGGCTTTTTTTCTCCCCTTGAATTGCATTTCTAGATAATGAAAATTCTAATTATTCATCCCGCAGGACTACTGACTTCTTGAATGTTAAATTCTCGTATTTGATAAATTCCCATATTTAATTCAAATGTACTACCCCTGAATTTTCTCATTTCTAATATGACCTGGTTGTTTTACTAAAGTGAGAAGCAGACTGCTTGAGGGTGTGTAAACTATACCTGACTGTTGATGGCTTTCATCCCTTAGAGTGTATATGTTTAAGCTTAAAAAAAAAAAAAGTAGTGGTTAATTTTTTTTACTATCATTTTCTTACATTTTCTCTCCTTTGGGGTTTTGCCACTTCTCTCTTTTATTTCTTTTTTCCATTTGTTTATTTATTTATTATTGGGCTGGGGTATTTATTTATTCATTTATTGAGCCTGCTCTGTTACGCAGGCTGAAATGTAATGTCATGGTACAATCTTAGCTCACTGTAGCCTACACCTCCCAAGCTTGAACCATCTTCCCACCTCAGCCTTTCAAGCAACTGGGACTATAGGTGCATGCCACCACACCCAGCTAATTTTTAAAACTTTTTATATAGAGAGGTTCTCCCTGTGATGCCCAGGCTGGCTCAAGCGATCCTCCTGCCTCAGCTTCTCAAAGTGTTGGGATTACAGGTGTGAGTCACCGAGCCCAGCCCTCATTTCTCCATGCTCATTGCCAATAAAAGTGTGTTCAGGCCGGGCGCGGTGGCTCAAGCCTGTAATCCCAGCACTTTGGGAGGCCGAGACAGGCGGATCACAAGGTCAGGAGATCGAGACCATCCTGGCTAACCCGGTGAAACCCCGTCTCTACTAAAAAATACAAAAAACTAGCCGGGCAAGGTGGCGGGTGCCTGTAGTCCCAGCTACTCGGGAGGCTGAGGCAGGAGAATGGTGTGAACCCAGGAGGCAGAGCTTGCAGTGAGCTGAGATCCGGCCACTGCACTCCAGCCTGGGAGACAGAGCGAGACTCCATCTCAAAAAAAAAAAAAAAAAAAGTGTGTTCAGAAACACTTCACAGTATCTTCCCATTACAGTGTTGTGCCCCTGGGATTAAAAAGTGGATATGCCTATTTTAAATTTGGGAATATCGGTGAGTCAACTTGGTTAACAAATCTGAGAAAAAAAGTGGAGATTACACTGAAAATTTCCACCATGAGAGAATTGTCATAGAGTGCCACTACTCTTCTTTCACTTGGGAGGCCATTTCTGACAAGAGGAGAGGTCTCACCCTTGGACTCCAGCCTTAGACCCATGACAGGTGAGCTGCAGTCCAATGCTGCCACTGAATTATAATCTGCCCAGCCCGCAATGGTTAAGTGAGGTTTATTAAACTTTTCTATTATCAGATTCTAGAATGCTATATGTTAATTTGTTTAAAATCCTCCGGGGAAGGTCCCTACCCCAGAAATGTAGGTCACTGTAGTATAGATTGAGAAGTATTTGGCACAGAGTAGGAAATTAATAAATGTTATTTCCTTCACCCTCTCACCCTCTTCTAACATGGAATAGTAGCAGAAGAAGCAGTTACTAGATATGTGATGTTTTGAATAACCTTGTCTCTGGAGTTAGGGCGAGTGAAAGACTCCCTTGCCTCCTCTACACCTTTGTGACCACAGGGAGAGGTACAGGAAGATCAGTTGGGTCAAGGCTCAGAGTGAAGGGAGCAAGAAAGAGGCGCAGTTTAATCATCAGGAACTCAGTCATTGCTGAACATTCCTGGTGGGAACACAAGAAAAAAATAAGATTTGGCTGCCATCCTTAAGGAATGTATTTTCTAATTGGGAAAGCAAAGACCAACATGAGGAAGGTATCTAAAAATACAAAGTGGTACATGCTGCATGTCAAATAGGACAGACATTAAGCTCACTCTAGAGAGAAAGAAAATCCGACCCAAGCTGGGGTGCTTAGAGAAGGCTACATGGAGAATGGGGGTTAATCCAGGTGATTAGCACAGGAATGACACTGTTTGCTAGGAGAAGTTCCAGGAAATCTCTAGGACTTTGGAATGGATAAAAGAAATGGGTATATGCCAAAGCCAGAGCTATATTTTATAGTAGTTTGAGACACAATTCAAGTTAGCTTCAGAGACTTTGTAAACTGCATTCAGTTGGCTGAAGGGGTGTGCGAGGTGGGAAGGGGTGTCAGTTACATGTACACCCAAGATCCTTTAGATGTTCCATTTGCCTGCCACATTTTTTGTTATGCTCCCTGGATTGCTGTGGCATCTATATCTGGCTGGCAAAAAAAAAAAAAAAAAAAAACTATAACCAAAATCTTGTCCATGTGCAATCCACGTGGCTTTCCCTTCAGACCACAGCAAGAAAGTTTGAGATTCACATGACAGCAAAGATTTCATTCCTAAAGGAAAGGAGAGTGAAGGAAAACTCTCTTCCCCCATCTCCCCACTCTCTGCCTGTCAAGATCACTTTAAAACGCATCGGTCTCCCAGCTCATCAAGCCCACCCCCAGCTGCCTGTCTTCCATCTCCCTAATCTCTCCTCTGCACTGAAAGCTGCCCCTTTTTGTGTGTCTCTTACCCGACAACTGCTTATCCTCTGCAGGGCTTTTACCAGGGAGCCGCTCTGTAAGTAATCAGCCTCTTATCTCCATCGTTCACTCCGGTCACCTCTTAATGTTCACAAGTTCCCCAAATGGGAAGTAATTGACCTCTAAACAAAACAAAAAAGCTCTCAGAGAGATAGCAGAGGTTCCTTTCCTGACTGTCCCAGGGCTAGGGGTCTCACCTAGGCCAGGTGGATAAGTCAATAAAGTTGCAGACTTCCTGGCTCCCTGTCTTTCCTTTCCCATCCCAGCCCCACTCCAAGCCAGCTCCATCCTGATACCATCTGCAAGTCAGATGGAGTCTAATTCTAGGTCACAGACTTGCCAGATTCCTGGCATTTATTTTTTGTAATGTTGTCATTATTACAATTAACAAAATCATTATGATGATTTGAGGAAGGCATATTTAAATCTTTTAAAATTCCATTTGAAAAGTGTTTACAACCCTCAATGTTTAGACCAGCTCTTTAGGATTTTCTTGGCTTGTCAACTGACCCTTTTTCTTTTTCACAAAACGAGGGAACTCTCAGGCTTAAAAACTGTGCTCCTCCTTTCCCTTCCCTTCCCCTAACGAAGAGTCCAGAGACACAGAGGATGTAGAGAAACCTGAGTTTGGAGTCCTTTCATTCTAGTCCCAGTTCCACTAAGAACATGCTCTGTGACCTTGAGTAAGCCTCCTAACCTCTCTGGGTTTCACTCTCTGCACCTATACAATTGAGGAGATGGATCTCTGAGGCTACTATTCTAATTTGAGGTGGCTCCCTATTGATTTCAGATGCCTTTACTTTTTTTAAATTATAAGATAGATCATAGATCCAGAAGACTACACAAAACATATGTGCAGTTTAAAGAATACCTGTAAAGTGAGCACAGATGGAAGTCCCACTCAAAGCAAGAAACATGGGATGCCAGCTCCCCAGCAACCCTTCTTCCCACATCCCTCCCAGAATGCCAACCCTTTCTCCCTCCTCCTCTCAAAGGAGGTACCAGCTACTCTGACTTCTCTGTAATAGTAATAAATAATGAACAGGCTTCTCTTTATGGATTTATCAGGCTTCTCTTTTTGTATTTACCCATATGGATACATCTCTTAACAAATACGGTTTAATTTTGCTGGATTTTGAATGTTCTATAGGTAGAATCATACTACATATATTCTTTTTTTCTTTTTTCTTTTTTCTTTTTTTTTTTTTTTTGAGACAGGATTTCACTGTGGTTGGAGTGCAGTGGTATAATCATAACTCACTTAAACTCCTGGGCTCAAGAGATCTTCCTGCCTCAGCCTCCCAGGTATCTGGGACTACAGGCACACACCACTGCACCTAATTTTTTTAAAATATTAATTTTTTTTTTTTTTTTGAGATGGAGTCTTGCTCTGTCGCCCAGGCTGGAGTGCAGTGGCTGGATCTCAGCTCACTGCAAGCTCCGCCTCCCCGGTTCACGCCATTCTCCTGCCTCAGCCTCCCGAGTAGCTGGGACGACAGGGGCCAGCCACCTTGCCTGGCTAGTTTTGTAGTTTTTAGGAGAGACGGGGTTTCACCGTGTTAGCCAGGATGGTCTTGATCTCCTGACCTCGTGATCCACCCGTCTCGACCTCCCAAAGTGCTGGGATTACAGGCTTGAGCTACCGCACCCGGCCCAATTTTTTTTTAGAGACAGAGTCTGGCTATATTGCCCAGGCTGGTCTGAACTCCTGGCATCAAGCGATCCTCCTGCCTCAGCCTCTCAAAGTGCTGGGATTATGGGCAGGAGTGACTGCACCCAGCTATGTATGTATTCTTTCATGACTTGCTGCTTTTATTTAATTTGATGTTTGTGAGATTTGTTCATGCTGTTGTGTGCAGCTTCTGTTAGCTCATTTTCATTGCTACTCTGTGTTCCATTAAATGCCTATACCTCAATGTATGTATTTATTGAAAATGTAGGGAGTTTCCAACTGTAGATTGTAACAGATTTCTGTTAGTGGTACCCTGTCTCACAGGTACAGCTGGATTCCATAGCTGGAATATGTCCTGGGCTGTCATGCACTTTTGTGACTTGCTGGCAAGCATCCATCCTCTGATAGATTTCTATTTTATATAACAAATAACAGCCTTGCACTGGCATACCCTTTGAACTATGGTATGATTTTATTCTGTACTTACCAACCATTCAAGGCAGAATATATTACTACTGCCATCCAGAGTCAGAGTCCCAGGGTCAGAAAAGTGACAGCAACATTGTGAGTTAGTGATGGAACCGGGAATAGACCCTGGGCTCTCTGTCCTCTCATCCCTGGGTTCCTTCCACTGAATACTCCACAAGGCATTCTTGTCTTCACACAAATCACGGGACTCTCGAGTGACACTTTCTGTCTGTGCTGAGTGAAAAATGCAGAAGAGGTAGGAGTCCTTTGGAAAGCATGAAGAGGAGAGAAATACGAAGCCAGATGCCAGAAAGGGTGGGGAGGGAAGGGAGAGATAAAACTGCATCTTCCTATTCCTGTGGGTAAACAACGTGTGATGACCCTGGCTTCTGCATTCCCCTTGCCTAGTTCAGTCCACATTTTCCTGTGTGCCTTGAGGCCCTGGGGACACTGATTCAAGCTTTCAAATGGCTAACTCTTCAGAGTGGGGAGCATTCCCCTGACTGTTTCTCCTCCTC